TTGATAGCTGTTCGTAGTTTTCGAATTATTCGAATAAGCAGAAAATTCCGTGATATTAGAGAAGCTCTATTTGTCGTTTCATTAAAATTAAACTTATCCGCTCGTCGACACCTGCTCTCCAAAAGTCAATATGGATTATCACTGAAAACAGTGAATAGTCCATGATTTGCAGTTATAAGTACACCACTGAAAACTGCAGTGGGATAAATCTGTGAGTTTCAAGTAGATAACAAGAGTTGACTTTAAATTAACTTTTCTGATACGGTTTCATCAGAGTTTCGTCATCAAGAATGAAATGAAAGAATTTAGCAGCTGAAACGTTATAGTACTCTCCATTGTCAGAATTGAGAGAAGCCATTAGTTCGATCGGACTGTCGTCAAAAAAGAAAAGGATTGGTGGTCAACTAGAGACGGTAAATCCTAGGGGATATACTGTATGCCATTTATGTCGTAAACGTCAGAAATACGGATTTGTCATAGAGGGGAAATTATCGCGATCGCTTCTCGCGGGAGGATCGCATACGTTCAACGTGACTCAACTGCCCTTTTACCTTGCTGCACAAAGGGCCCGTTGTTCGCCGGGCATATAATCCCTATACATCGCGTCTATCTTGCCCTGTCCTGCCCACTCGGTCCCTGCCAGGCCCACCCCTGCTCGCGCGTAGGACTCACGCGGCCTCCATTATGCGACACAATCGCTAAATTGTCACAATTACCGGCTGCATGGGGCGGGAGAGGATGCCAGCTGCCGCGTCAGCTGACGAATTCCTCGTTTTCTCGTCGGAAAATTCGCGCCGTTGTAATTAATCCCGCCTGCGCGCGGCAGGAAATGGCAATCGCGAAGACACACTGGTGAAAGTTGCTTATAGGAGGCTAATAAGCCTGACAAAATACACAAATTAATTGCACAATAGCGACAAATTGCTTTGTCATATCGGCATGAGTACTGACTTGCGAAAAACAAAGAAATGAACTGAATTCTTTATATTCTCCGCGAAAACTGCTTGCTTTGCTAAAAAAAACTTACAATTAGATATGTTCACACATGACATACCGATGTTTGCAATTTTATAATTAAATTTATAAATTTAAGTATTTTTTAAATTACATTTACAATTAAATTAAAAAGTACATAAAGGTACACAGAAACGACAATAAGTTTTTTAACAAATTTGAGTAGCTTTTTGTTGCCAGTGGTAATTAAACAAGGGAGATTTATTAAAAAATCGACCAAACTGGTAAAATTGATAATCTTTATTTTAGTCACAACGTTTCAACCTCTTTATCGGGTCCTTTTCATTAATTTGTTCAGTCAACATTAGGTATTTTTCTCCTTTGCAATACATACTTATGTACATACTAAAAGTTCCTTCTTTGTAATACGGTTGGTACATTTGAAATTTGTTTTCATATTGTACCTGAAAAGGACCCGATAAAGAGGTCGAAACGTTGTGACTAAAACAAAGATCATCATTTTTGCAAGTTTGGTCGATTTTTTAATAAATTCCCCTTGCTTTAATAGTTTTTTTAATGATAAAGCGAGCTTTACAGTTTTTTTATTTTATTAGGAGAATAATTCATTAACTAGTGGAAATTATCGCATTTTTCATGCAGAACATTTGATCCGAAAAAGCCTAATTCGGTACGAGGAATCGTCAACAAAATGGCTAGGCAAAATTGTCAAGACGTATTGTTCGATCGGTGTGGGATCGATGCCATTGTTTTGGAGAAAAGTATGACGGAAATGCAAAGTACCGACAAACGACGCGCAGAGCGGGGTCTCTCGAAACAATGGCGGTCGGCTCGACCGGTTGTATCGAGCATTCCCATGCACGCTGTCGATGATTTCCGGTGCTCATACCACGACAAGTTGGACCGATTCGATTACTACGTTATTCGTGCGGTAAATGCCCGCGGTCGGCACGCTTGTCATTTCGATCCGCCGTTCGCCAATCTCTACGAATCGCACAAACGAATCCATAACAACGAGAGGAACGTCGCGATATTATCTGTTAATAAATTTCGGTTAAAGAAATTGATGTCGACAGAAGCTAAAGATTTCCAGCTTTTCAAAACGTACCTTTGGATTTGAGATGATAAACGAGAAGAAATATAGGCGATGTGAGCCGTCACCAGATTAAAGGTGATCAAATCATATACAATTTTAGTATAAATAGTAAAAGTAGGAGGTATGAGTGACTGAACAGAAGTTTACCTTTGTTTTAACGAAATGTAATTTAATTTAAGACACGTTCGCCAAAAACTATAACATTACACTGATAATAAAATATCTTAACCCAAACAAATATTACTTTATTTAAGAAAATTATTCATTAGGTAGATCCTAATAGCTTATTAACTTAAATTTATAAAATAATAAACAAATTATTACATGCATTGCTTTAATTTAAGTATTTATTAAATATCAAAGCATAGATAATTTAAAATTAAAATAATTTTATTTTAATTCTATAAAATGTTTACTAAGATGTAATTTTTACAGCGAAGAAAATTAGATTTCTTATTTAATAAAAACAATTAATTCATTTAATAAATAGTAAGTATTCTATAGCTCATGAAATCTTTATTTGAATGTAGAAAATGTAATGATTTAAATTAATTTACTTAATATAATACATAGATTTACTTAAAATTTGTGATATTTTTATTTAAATAGAATAAATATTTTCTTCAGTAAACAAATATTTTAAGTAAATCTATTTATAACATCGGTGATTTTTGTCGACCGTGTCTGGCAATTAAAATTCTTATTGCGAAAAATATTACCCCAGCCAGGATTCGAACCTGGGACCTCCCTACAATCCGTGACGGGCGTCTTAGCCAGCTCGACTAATTGCCAGACACGGTCGACAAAAATTACCGATGTTATTAATTTATAATTACTGCTGGCGACTTTAAGAATATTCTTAATAATAAATCTATTTACTTAGTTTCAAAAAATTTCTTTTGTCAGTGTAACAATGCGACAAATCCCGATCTGCCTCGACATTCTCACCGAAAATTACTTCGCCAGAGACTATTTCGAAACCATCGTCCGTCGGCGTGCGTACGCTCCTTATTACGAACGTAACAAACGAAACGGCGGAGGTAGCACAGTCGGCGCAAATCAAAATATATTCGTGAGAGTGGTCACACAAGGCGGTCACCGCAGGGGTAGCAGTGGCGGTGGTTTGATAGGGGTTACCGAGGGTGTCGTGGAGTGGTATATCCGGACAGTCGAGGCCGGGCTTTACGAGGGTCAAGCATTTTCTAATTAAGCCGGGCCCGGCGCGTAAAACGTTATGGCGCCGCTCGAGTGGTATACTCTTGGCATTTCCAGGGCTATACTTCGCCCCCCTCCTACCCCTCCACGTCTTTGTAGCATCGTGGTGGAGTTAATTCATTCAGGCTCTCTCGGCTCCGATAAACGCGCGATAGCGGTCCGCAGAAATATACGCGCGGCCTTGTACAACATTGAGCTACCGCCTTCTCGATGGCACTTGAGTCCTTATGAAATTAAATCGCCGACCCATAACCCTGTTTACACCAAGATATAATACGTTTTATGCGTTTGCTAAATTATACCTTTAAAATTTCATGGACTTTGCTGAGCCTTGTGACGAATTATCAAAATTAAATGTTAAATTTAAATGAACTTAATGAAAATATGATTATAGTTGTTGCTATACCTAATCGCACACGTCGTTATGAGAAAATTTTAAAGAAACCTCTCAAATAAAAAAAAATACAAATTCGTACTGTACATTTGTTACTATTAATCGTATGAAATAAATAATATGTTAATATTAATTCCTTAAAATGAAGCTGGTCTGTCGGTCGAAGCGTGCTGTGCAGGCGGGCAATAACAGTTTTATGAAGCTCTCGTAACGGCAATTAGAATCCCCTGCTACGTTTAAGATTAATTATACATTCAACACGAATGTTGGCGTATCGCTCAAATTTCGGCATTATTTAGCTAATCCGTTAAACGGTCTGTAAAAACTTTTTCTCGTATTTAACCGACTGAAAAACCAATGGCGTAATTTATTATCTATACCGAACTATCGCACACACCTATTGTATCGAACGAGTCGGCGGGATAACTTGGGTGGGACACAGCCCATGCACGTGTAATCGAATTACATGTGATAGGCGCGAGTATATCAGCGCGAATGGCTACGTCGGTTGAAATGATAATGAGCGATGGAAATGTGATGATACCCAAACAGCGTGTTTTAGAGGTGACAATATTCAGCACGGAGAGTGGAAAACCGTCCGTGGATACGAGTATCCGCGAATCCGCGTTAATTAGCGAGATTACAGGGAACTGTGCGCGAAACCACGAAGTTCTGAAAAATTCAGGCAATCGATGAGCATCGATTCGTTTCGTCCTGGATACCTTCGTCATAGTTTTGACTGACAAAATTATTTTTTCTTAAAAGAGGTAAGAGAAGGCGCCAAGTACACGCGCCGTAAAAAAAGATTTGATAACACTTAGGGCTAATATGTAATTATCAGTAAAATCAAACTATAAAAAAGATTTGATATAAAAACTTAGCACCAGATTATAATTGTTAGTAAAATCAAATATAATTGTTTTACTTTCCTAAAAGTACATGATATTCCGTATCCATAAAACGTGCTCGGAATATAATGTGTTCTGCTAAATAATATTTTAAATAAAATTTGATTCAACAAAAGTAGGTTGAATTATAATTTAATTCTTTAATTCAATTATCGTAGATAAATTGCAGGTGCCGAATTATTCAGATTACTATTAAAAGATTAATTTGTTATCTATTCAGACAGAATCGCATTGCGTTGCAAATCATTCCATGGTAGCTATTGCTATGTTGTCCGGAAATAATGCAAGAAGATTAAATTCGTTGCGACCGCGGATTAATTATGAAATTTATCTTACTCTCATGTCATAAACGTTTTTTGACTCGATTCGAAGGCAGTAGATGCCCTTTCTGCGAGAATATCAGATTCAATTATTAAGTCGTGTCATAAGTAGAATAAAAAATAGAGAGAAAATTATTCTTACGCACTCATGTCTATACGCGGTCCGAAGTAAATGTAATCATTCTCTTCGCAGTGTCGTTATCAAATAGAGCCAAAACACAATCCGTGGATTTGGTAGCCATTATACTTCGTTTCGTTTCTCACGGAATCGGAATACCATAGCGCCGCTTTAATGTGGCTACATTCTGGTGCAAAAGAACGCATGTGAAGTTACGTGATAAATTTAGCAATAAGTATCCTACTTTACATTCTATCGTCCGTATTCGCGTACATAAGCACTAAATATGCCTATTTCAATTCCGATCTGGTGTACGCGATTCTTTTATAATAAGTACACGCACATGCACGTACACAAATTTGATTACTAAGTTTTCAGTATGAAAACATCTAGGCATCGTTATTGTAAAATTAAAACAAATTGTATTACGACGTGGGGTGAGTTGTGACGAGCAGCAGTCAGGCTGGGGTGCCGATCCAATATTTGCGAAAACATTAAGACTGGCCACATTTAACACAGTGGCGTAACCACCGCGATTCGTGTAAAAAGCGTCCGCGAATTTTGCGATTTTTGAATTAAATCGACAGTCCTTATACACTTCCAAGACTCCCGCAGGATCCAAACCTGTATTCATTAATATGTGCAATATAATGGAATAATACTATGCTAAACTAACTTCCATATACGCTTATTAATAAATGAGCCTTTCCGATAATAACCCCCATATGTCATATTACATTTACATTGTTAAGTAGGAAATTATAATATCGATATTATGTAACTATTACTTGGTGTTCACTGGAATAGGGATTATGGGTCGATCGCTCGCAGAAGCACTTTGAGGGTTAATATTATTTTATAGATAAAGTAGATCTTAATAAGAAACGAAATGAACATAATAAATGTCACAAGGATTCAAATGTGCTATTAAGCATATGAGGTCACCGACCTCTGCAAGCAAATACTTATTAGTAAAGTCAAAAGATACAATGTTTTGAGGATATTTGACAGCTCTTTGCGACTTGACAATGCATTAACAATAAGTGATTTTTCTATGAAAAAAGTCATATGAATTTATAAAAATCAAAGGTGCTCCACCAAAGCACCCATACTAACCGCTCCATCGTGCAGGAGCCACCTTAAGCCACGGGCGTTTCGCTGCTGTTCCACGCGAACTTCGTTGCGCAAACTTAGTGCGAGATATTATCGTATCTCTTACTAAAAGACAAACTATATAAAGAATCTGAAATTAAATTCGGAGCAGCTGCAGGGGTTACATAATTCAATGTATTGTGATTTTATTGGAGTTTTATAGGTAACTATTTTCCAGCACACCTCTTGATTCTGTATATCAGTCATTTAGTTCAACTATTTATTATTTTTATATTTTAATTTTTCCCATAAAATCTCCGCCAGATTTGTAAATTCGAACCCTTGGTGCTCGTTCGTATAAAAGGTTACGCGCGAGCCTTTCCCCGTGTTCGCCTTCTTGTTGCAGAATTTAATTTCGAGGCCTAGAACGCGTACCCCCCTGTTTCTACTACCCCGTTGGGGAGAGGGAGACGCGGCAAAATATGGCGCGGAACGATACAAATATATAAAGCCGCCCGAGCTCACAATTTTCCGCGTGATACCGGAGTACGCCCTCCGCGTTTTAGAATCCGCGCCACGCCGCTCTGCGAACGACCGCCCGTAGATCTTTTAATATGACGCAGCATAGGTTCCTGATTGCCCGCCATAAACTTTTTATACACTCCTCTACATATTAAGAGCGTATTTACCAGCCTGCTCGCGATTGCCGTCCCCCAGTGACAGGTCTCCTGGAATTTCGTTCCCCTATTTTCCCTCCCGAGCTCTTTCATCGAAGAAGAAAAGCAAAGTTGCTATATTTGATCGTTCCGAAAAATCTGAATTTTATTAGGACACATTCCGATAAACTTATGAACTTATATCGTTAGCAGAATATACATATTGGAAGGAATATGAGATATTATGAGTAGGTTTATCTTTGAGAAATTTTCTAGTGTGTTTAAAATTACACTTGAAATAATTTAAAACATTATATTACCAGCGCGAATGTCGTTAATATCGAACAGTTGAGGCCTCTTTTCCGCGATGCCGATTAGTTTTCTTGAAGCGCGGTGTGCTTCACTTCTCTTTTAGGATTCATAGTAAATGAAATCAATTAGAAATTAAAGAGGCCGTTTTGGACCGGGCATAGGTGTAAGTAGCCAGTTAAATTAAATTATTAAGTGAATTCATATACCGTATTCTTTCCAACTTATCCTGTGCGCCAGTTACATACTAGTCTTATAACACAGGTTAATCCCCGTAAGGGGGGAAGGGGGTTATCATATTAGATGCTAATGTATAGCATTATTAAAATAATTTATAAACATGAATTCACTGACGATAACACTTCCACTTACGGGGATTAACCTGTGTTATAAGACTAGTATGTAACTGGCGCACAGGATAAGTTGGAAAGAATACGGTATATGAATTCACTTAATAATTTAATTTAACTGGCTACTTACACCTATGCCCGGTCCAAAACGGCCTCTTTAATTTCTAATTGATTTTATATCTTAAAGGACCTATGTTAAAAATTATAGTAAATGAAGATTTGCAATTTAGAAATATACATTTGTATACATTTGTATACACCAACTATTGAGGTAAAATCTCTAATCTTGGTAATTAGAATTTAAGTAACAACGATTTTTGTTTCTAAACATTTTCTCCATTGAACAGAATTAATCGTTAATTTAATCTAATACTAATAAGTCTGCAGAATGATACACAAAACGTAGTAACAGTCGCGGAACAAAAGTAATGTGAAATATTAAGTACGGAATTTTCTATTACGTAGGCGGGTCAACGAATTCTCAACGTTTTTTGTTGTTTTTCACTCGGCGCGGTGACGTACGATGTTTTTGCGTGCCATCGTGTACCTGAAGGTCGGCTGTGCTATCAGACGCTCGCCGAACGTCGAGCCGGCAAGCAGTCGCGAGAGTCGCTCCGTGCGTGGTATTATTTTCACATTATCGATTTCTAAAACGCGATCGCGGTGAATGTAGGGATAAAACGCTATTGATTTGGACACCTTTATCAGTAACAAGTAACGTTCCTCGATTAATTATTAAGTTTCTACAACTTGTAATGAGAGATGAATTGTGTGTTGAGACGACGGTTCTTTATCAACGTGTACGTAGATATTTCACGATATTTCTCATCTAAAATATAAATGTAAACCGTGGTACTTTGTCGCGATTACATCTCGTTTACGCACCGCGCTTTTAATTATCTATCGATTTCGTGTAATCTGTTGCATTTTCGGGAAAAGAGAAAAATTTGTGCGACTTCGGCGTCCGCGCTATAATTCGCACTGTCGTTCTACGCAACGGGCAGGAAGAAATGGAAACCGCTTATTGCACGTCGTTACATTATGTAAATGTAATCGAAAATTATCTCGATTAACTGTTGCAATTAATAATAACTATTAATCGCTGGAAATTTCGCTCACATAATTTATTTCGAGGATTAGATTGAATGACAAAGATTGCAAAATATCGTTTCGTTGCAAACCAATAACTACTTTTTTACCGCAGATTATGCTTGTGATGCGCTGCGTTTTATATCGCCAATTCAATAGTGATTTATCCATTATCTTGTTCTTCCAAATCAAAAATGCAAATGTTAGTTTGAGTAATTTGTATGATAGAAAGCCACGTGATATTTGTTAATAATATTTCGTGCGTTTTACGGTATTTTATATCGCGTACGGGAGTGCCGAAAATTTCGCGCGATCGATGTGTTAGTGCAACAAGAAAATCTGATTGTGAGAGGAGAAGGCCTGGGAGGAATCGAGCAACGGCGGAGAAATCGTGAGGTAAGTGTCTTACATTTTGATGTTATTTGCTACTTGTGCAAAATAAAGAATCTGTTCTGTGTTTTTATTTTATTTATTCAAATGATTCGAACGAGGATTCGAATAAGTGGTAGAGACAAAACTATACGTATAAAATTTTGTGAGTTTATATTTAAAAGAAAGACTTCTTCAGTATTCTATATAATTAATTTAATAAATACCTATTTTAAAAAATATAAAATATAAAGTATATTTAATACAATAATTTCGATTTTACATAAGTAGTCTATAACATTACATACATAAGTAGTTTAACATATATAGTTAACGCTGTACAACTCTGCTGTTGCAAATCATACCAGTGAGTGATAAATTACTTTTTATTTCAAATAACGTCGCGCATACAATTACTTCTTTGCATGTATACAAATTCTTAAAAATATACAATGCTCAACTACAAACTGCACGCACGAGGCGCGCGGTTGGTCATTTCTAGTCAAAATTATAACATTCATGTATTGTATGTTACAATTGTAAATTATTATAGTGCTATGAAATGTGTTAATTTGATGTGTCTAACGTGAAACGTGTATTTAATAACTGATCCAATTGGAAATTAAAAAATAAGACTACTTCTTAGACATTTTTCCACAAACCTGTAAATTACTTACGCGATATAAATTTCACGTTTCGCTTGAAAACGATGTACTTACATTCATTAAAAAACTGCTAATTAATTGAAAAGCGAATTTACTAAAAAATTATTAACTCTTTTACTTTTCGCGATAAAAAAGAAACTTTCCTAGTTAATGCTTCCACTTTTGCCGAAAAATTCTTTCGTGATGTGAGTGTGAAACGGTTTTCGCCATATAACACGATCAAAAGACGAGGGAAGAGAGGATGAATCAAGAAAAAAAGTAGCGTAGTGACCGTACATTAAAGTCTATTTGGGTCGAAGGGTGCGTGCTCCTAATCGTCCGAGTCCCTCGGTCTCTCTCCTAAAAGTGCACCCCCTGCCCCTTCAATTGGCCAGATCTACTTCGATCGGGGCTGAAACCTTCGCATGGGGTGGCGGCCCGGTTACCAAGAAAAACAAACCTAATGTTATTTTTCCCTCGCGAGCCAGTCCTCGATGCTTTGTCCGCCGTTCATCCCTGCTCTCTCGTCCTCGTCGATCCTGCCTTCCTCCGCTTCTTGCGGAGGGATCATTCAATCGAATTAAATCCTTTGAACTTTATTGGCCACGGCGGAATGACATCCCGTTAATTACATGTCGAATTCGACCCCGCTTCAGCCGCCGCCCCCGCCGTGCCATCTATCCGCGATTCGATAACTTTCGCCGAGAGTCGTTTGTCTCTCGCGTCCCTCGTTTCCAACTTTGCAGTCCCCCTCGCTCATTCGGCGAACATTCTTAATCGCGTTTAAGTGTTTGCGCGTTTATTTATACGAGATATCCCGGGGACATCACTTTTATCTTTCCTAATCAACTTGAAGTCGATCCTCTCTCGGGTGGAAATGATTCGCCATAAAAATCACGGGGCTCGCAGATTACGCGAGTAAAACATGAAAACCCAGTAGGAAATCTCTTCCCTCGGAAATGACTTTGTTGGCATTATCTGAGCATTGAATTAATTATTATAATCACAGGAAGAGACAGATTATTTATTATACATTATAATTAGCTTTATCGTATTTGTTTAAACTGTCGATTATCGATTATTAATATATTAATTATCCAGCTTTATTTAAACAGCAGATTATTTGCCCTGTTCGAACGAACGGAGATTTATTATTCATTGCGAGCAACATTTTCGTGATTATCGCGATAGGAGCGCGCAGCTCGACGTGCAGCTA